CCCCATAGAGCTCGTCTGCGGAAGGAAGCATGAAGTGCTCCAAAATCTCCTGGTAGACGGCTAAGTTGCATTAGGGAAATAAATGAACTTTTGCACGATATTCTAATTTTTCGAGTTTCACCTGTATGTATACAGGTGAAACTCGAATAATTAGAATATCGTGCAAAGTTCATTTATTTCGCTAATGCAACTTAAAAGGTGAAACTAATATATGAGATAGACTCATTACATGCAAAGCAAGATAATTCAAGCCGTGATTTGTCATAATTGTGATGATTATGGCTTACAGCTCATGAAAACCCCAAGAACCCCAAATCCACAACCTCAAAAAAGTAGATTATTACATGCAATCAATAAAACAAGGATTGTACATAGAACAATATCGGACCTCTGAAAAGTACAAGCATGCATATGTACTCAGTACTTGGTTTGGGCCCCTTTTGCAGCACTTACTGCAATTACTTTTGCACGATATTCTAATTATTCGAGTTTCACCTGTATATAGTTGAAGAACTGCCTTTTAATTGAATGCAAATTATATAATAATATTTCATAAGCATTGCTGTGCTGCTGTTTTTGATGACATGACACTGATGACATGATAACACTAATAACATAAAGTGACATTCTTAAATAAACATATCAACGAAATATTGAAACTGTACTTTGTGTGTGCTGGTGACCCACCGTGATTACTAGAAGTGAAGAGCACTCACCCTGTCATCACCAACCGATTTGAACTCCGAGACTATGAAGGCCACAAGGTAGGTGGACATCTTTGGAGTTTTATTAAATACTGTGACTTGCCATTGCTGTCCTTCCCACGTTTCAGAAGTAACACCTAGAAGACAATCATTTGTTCAGAATAGTAAAATTGATTTACTAAAGGCAAATAGGCTGTTCACTTTGTAATTGAAATTGCATTTTGTAGGGGAAGTTTCCCTTAGCTTAGTGAATGTGGTGTACCTACACTTTGTAAACAGTACCCAATCATGCGCAAGGAAAATTGTTTGCTTGCAAAGTGAACAGACTCTTTACCTTTAGTAAATCAATCCCCTTGCCTCATTACACAACTGTCATGAGTCATTCTAGAATAAACTGCATCAGCTGTGAATGTTGAAATACCAGCCTTACCAAGTTGATTAAAAAATATTCTTCTATTATTCTCCTCAGTAAACAGAAGTACACATTGCTGTATCCTTAAACAAATACAATATTTTTAATAGTTTATATTATAAAATTTTGACTTAGCTATGCAGTCATTAATTAGGGATAATGGGATATATTTTCAAAGGCAAGCCCAAGTAGGTAGAATGAAGTGGAGATTGATAGGTCTTTATCCGGAACTTATATTAAGTCATATTACACAGTATACTCACTCTATTGTATTAGCTTAGTGGAACTACCCTTTAAGAGCTTAAAGTGGAGCTGTTAGTATCTTTTCTGGTCTGCATGAATACATTCCTCACAGGTCATACTAAACAGCAACAATGTAATTTAACAAATGTACGTTTTATGATTAAAAAGCGGTCCTGAGTGTAATTTTAGAGGAGCTTCTATACATTGGTTCATGTACAACCGAATGTATATACCAATGGTGTGTGAGATTGCCTTTCATGCATCTCTTAGTGTAAAAATTCTCTATTTTTTTCTTCCCTTTTTGTACTTGCAAACTTCTAATAAACTGCTATTATGTAACATTATTTAAATAAAAGCAGTCCTGGAGTTCCAGTAAAGTGACTTTGCCTAGATTGAGATGGATGTCATCAGTCTGCTCTCTATTCTCTCACCCAGTGATCAGACTGCAATGCTGGAACTTTGTAGAATAGCACAAGGTGAAAGGCTGCAACAGGGGCTGATTTGTATCACACATTTGTAAACACAGCCAGGATCTGCACAGACACCAGGAGTGCCATAAGTGCGTCATCTCTGAGCCAGCATTTCAGGCCAGAAAGTACACGCTGAGTACATGCTGACCCTGGATGATGCTTGAACAAAGATGATGCTGTCCTTATAGAGAGAGAAACAGATGAAACAGGGGTAGTAATGTGATCTCTGTTCGACATAAGAAATACTTGTAAGTGTTACACTTACTTATTGCTCAGTGTGCAATTGCTTAACATGAAAAAAATATATCTGATGCTAGGTAGGTCCACTTTGATGCCAATTTTATATCTGTACACTCATGATGGAATACTTTGTGACTCACTGATAGAATTCATATTGGAGAGTGCAACATAGTTGGGCTTGTATCTGAGGGTAATGTTGAAAGTTGCTTTCATTGCTGGCTCATCAAAGCATGGGAATGCCTTCCTTGCATCATGTGCTTGCATTTGGGTTGTGGCAATAAGTCTGTTAACAAAAAAGATATTAGCTGGAAAACCATCTACTCTGAACCCATCTACTCTAAAAACCCATCTACTCTGAACCCATCTACTCTAAAAACCCATCTACTCTGAAACCCATCTACTCTAAAAACCCATCTAGTCTGAAACCCATCTACTCTAAAAACCCATCTAGTCTGAAACCCATCTAGTCTAAAACCCATCTACTCTGAAACCCATCTAGTTTGAAACCAATCTACTCTGAAACCCATCTACTCTGAAACCCATCTACTCTGAAACCCATCTAGTCTGAAACCCATCTACTCTGAAACCCATCTACTCTGAAACCCATCTAGTCTGAAACCCATCTACTCTGAAACCCATCTAGTCTGAAACCCATCTAGTCTGAAACCCATCTAGTCTGAAACCCATCTACTTTGAAGCCCATCTAGTCTGAAACCCATCTAGTCTGAAACCCATCTACTTGGAAACCATCTACTCTGACGACCATCTATTCTACTGCTAGTTCCCAGATTTAGATGTATGTTTACAGTCATACAGAATCATCAAAGTTTGCCACTCTTTACCTGTTTCTATGATGGAAACACACATATCACTGGGACTCAGTCAGGTTGACATTGCTCTGGTAACTAATAAACAAAAATCTAACAATTGGACGATATATGCCATGATCTAAATGGGACAACATTTTAAGTTCAGACATGCAAACTGCATATCTGACTTAAGAATATCCCCGCAACATATGTAATTTCACTGAAACCGAATGCATGTTTAGCCTAGATCTATGTATATAAATTCTACATGGAAAAGTCCAAAAATGATTGGGTAGCAGGCATATAACGATAAAGGGATATTGCTGGAAAGGCATTGGGCTGCACACACAAAAATAACATTTACAGCATCAAAAATGATAATATCTACATATTCATAGCCATTGTTATAGTTATGCCATGTGCTCTTGATGTTGTCTTACAGAAATTATAAGTCGATGGAGAGACCTTCCGCACTCCCCACAGCAGTCCCGGCCAAATGAGAAAAAAAAAGTGGTGCTCGCAGTGATGAATTACCACGGATGGCGCAGTGCAAACACAGGAAAGCCAGGAAATCACCAGCACTCAGTAGTAAAGATAACTATGTCCCTTTTATTGGACAGAAAGCGTCACAGACATCCAAATAAACCGACGTTTCGGGGCCATCTTTCTGCCTTGAGGAAGGGACCCTGCGCGGCCCCAAAACGTCGGTTTATTTGGATGTCTGTGACGCTTTCTGTCCAATAAAAGGGACATATTTATCTTTACTACCGAGTGCTGGCGATTTCCTGACTTTCCTGTCTTACAGAAATTGTTAATGTTTCTTCCTTATATTTTCTTATATTACACTCTATATAACTACTTACTTGGTTGTATTATCTTCCACATATTCACTGCGGTAAAATCCTGCCAGGTCATTTGCCAGTTCTCCAATATATTCTGTGTGAAGCTTGTATGTTTTATTACTTTGCAGAGTCTCAGCAAGATGCAGCACCAAGTAATTGGTCCTCTCCACTAGCTGTTCTCTGTTTATGGCAATATCTCTATTTGTATCATCCTTGAGAACAACATTTTTAGTAAAATTAAGTTTTTTGCTGTGGATAATAACAAGATTGGTGGGAGTTACACATCTGAAGTACGAAGCACTTTTTCCATGAAAGACATAGAGTCCCCGGCTGTCCTTTTCCAAGACCGGTCTGAGATCAACATCATAGTGATCAGGTATCAGAGTCTTTGGAAGTCGGTAGAGGTCCCAAGGCTTATTTGATGCAGGTGTGGTAGGTTTCGATGTACTGGCTGTACTGCTGGCGGTGGATGTAGATCCCCCATTTTCTACTTTATTATTATTGGATTTTTCATTAGCATAAACTACTGATAGTGCAATGATTGTAGCCACTGCAGCTATGGCAGTAAAGATGGCAACAAAGGCTACGAGCTTGCTTACATAGAAGCCCTTTCCCATGGTGTTGGGAACAGATGCCACAGAAACAGGGATTCAAGATGTAGTCCTTTTTCTTATACTCTCAATAGTCAGAGCCAAGCATTTGTACTGTTTGGGAAGTTAATTGGTGAAAAGTTAACTTGTTGGAGCAAAGGCTGAAAGTGAATCATTATAATTGTCTTTCTAAAATTTTAGCTTTGTGCTCTACACATTGATAGATCAACCAGTTAATAGAAAGCTGATGTGAAAAGTACACCTAAGAGAGAAAAAAAGCAAGGTTACATATTCTTAAATACATACGCCAATTTTCTTTTGTCAAGTTAAGACATTAAAGCTATGCATCCTTTTACTTAAAGTAAAACTATGGGCTCCTATTAAAAATAAATACGTGTTGCAGTAATTATCTAATTACCTAATTATCTGCACTTGCAGTTTTCTCTTAGTTTCCCTGCAAAGTCCCCCAAATGCCTCGACCTTCAGACCTTCAGCTAGCAATTTAAGGGGAACTAATGAAGCTTCCTATGATAGTGTGGCAACAATGCTGTATCTCTCCTGAATTCAGAGCAGAGTTGCTACTCTCATGTAGGCTGTGCCTACTAGCACTACAGTAGGTGAACACATGTTGCTGGTGGGGGTTGTAGGGGGGTATCTATTAACATTGTCAAGCCTGTATTGTGTCAATCAGCACCTTGCCACGCCTAGTCCTTCCCACTAATTTCTGGATTGACAGGACTGCCTTTGCTGCTGATATCTGCCCTCTGTGAGCTGCAGTGTCTGGAAGGGAGAGTGTGTGAGGCGCAAATAAAAGAGGATTTGACTCAGTCAGGGTAGGTAAAGGAATTTTACACATACATTATAAAATATATTTTTTTGTGTAGATGTCCACCTATGTATTCATAGATGGTGGTACTGTCCAGGCTCATCGATCTCTAGAGAGCCGCCTCTGTTCATTTCAAAGTTTTTATTGAAAGTTTTATCACAGTGACAGGTAACACAACAAATGTAAAACATGAGTTACAGTTATGAAAACCACCTAAATAAACGTATCAGAAGTACAGGAATTTCCAATGGAACAAGGAAACTAGATTGTAAACATGCAATGCATAGATACTTTGAAATCAGTAAGCCAGTTAGGACAAAGATAAAAATGCATATTTGGCCACCAGAGTCCAGTATGTCAAAGTTCAGTAAGTAGTGCACTAGGGACAATGTAGGTGTGAAGTGGCTATATGGCTTCTAAGGTAACAGCTATGTTAAGGCAGATATGGGAGAGAGATGCAGAGGTAAATTAATATTGGAGATGAAAAAGGTAGTGGGGAGTTGTTTCAGTGGAGGGTTGGGGGGCTTGGTATAGGGTTAGGGGTCAGTGGACAATGGACTCTAAGTTAAATACCTGATATTTCCCAAGGCTAGTGACCAATGGAGGATAGGTTAAAGAGAAAGGTGAATCAATGTTATTTCCTGTTCTAGTAAAGGAATCTACACTTTAAGAAATTTGGCATGTGCATCATTAACCCCTTCATGACTGAGGCCCTTTTTTCCATTTTTGCACCCATGTTATATTCCACATTTTAGGCCTGAAAATGACGTAAAACCCCCCAACATTATATATTTTCTGAATGCCAAGACCCTATAGAATAAAATGGTGGTAGTTGAAAATTTTTATGTTGCGCAATATTAGCGCAACTCCTTATTAAACCCCAAAATTTAGTGACAAATTTAATTAAATGCCCCAAAACACAACAAATTACCAATTTTTTTAATGAAATATAAAAGATGAGGTTACAACGAGTAAAACGATACCCAACATGCCCAGTTTACAGATTGCGTGCGACCGTGAAACGGCGAAAAACTGCAGTACCCCAAAAAATCAATAAAAGACACTTTAAAAGCCCCCACAGGTCATCAATTTAGAGATACCCCAAAATACTGCCCCTAGAATTATTGCTCTCACTCCGGCGTG